TGTTCCTAACAGGATTTGACATTTCAGTTGACAATGGCATTTCTGGAATCTGTTTCATTACTTAACCCTCTTTTAGAGTTATGGAAGCAAAATTCTATTCAGAAGGATGTCTTCTTAGTTTGTTATATATGAAAATTTCTGCCAGCTCTTTACCCAATTTCAGGTTGGATGTATATTGGTAGAAGAGAAGTATAAAGTGAGAGGGTCATTTTGAAATTATCATCAAGAAAATATTACTTATTTGTCATATTCCAGAAAGCAAAGTACTACGTATTGATCACATTCTGGAAAATGTGCTGCTCAAAAAAGACTGCCTCTGAGAAAAAATACATTTTAATTAATTAATTTATTTATTTAATTTTTTTTTTACACACACACACAAAGTAATCTGGATAGAAAGGGTAAAAAATTGCAGCTGTAGAACAGGTGAAATTGAGACAAATCCATTGATAAATTTTACATCTGCATGTATAGTTTCCACGGTCTCCTCAATGTGAATAGAAGTCAAAAGTCCACAAGAAGTTCTCAATACAGATTGTTTCAGGGAATAAGCCTGTAATACTTTACGCTAATAAATAATGCATAATACAAGTCTTGAAAATTATGTTGTGTTTTAATGGTTGTTTTCGAGAAATATGGAGGAAATGTTGGTAAAAGAAAATACAGAAGCACAAAATGAACCACTGCATTTAATTGTTTCTCAATATGAAAGCTAGAAAGAGGTGGATTCCTTGTCACTGTTTGGAATGCCATCACTGAAAGGAAGATATGGAAATAAAATATCGAACATTATCCTGAAACAGCATTTTATCAATTCAACTTAGAAAAAACACCACCGTATGGAAATTAAAATAGAACATGTAATAAAATGCTCACATCGTCATTCTGAGTACAGGAAAACAGGAATTTAACACAAAAACTAAAATGTTTTCTCAGTCAATAGAAATCCATAAAATACCCATCATTCAGAAAATATATGAACTAATGATATAAAATCTTAAAAACTGTTATTATATCTCACATTTTATACTAATTAATTGCATGCTTTCCTTTGAGAATTGGCTACAATTATTTACAGCAACATTTACATCAGATTGGCGTTAAGGATTCAGCTTGCTGCACTTTGTATCATCAGGTTGATATATATGTTGACCACCTCAAGTACTACCCTATTATTTTAAAGTATATTACAGACAACTCTATCAAGGCTAATATTTTTAACCTTACTTTTTTACATGCTCATCATTTTATTGGGCTGCTTGTTGACTAATGGCAGAAATGCCGAAGATGGGCACAGGATAAAAATGTGCTCTTTCGAATGTGATTGATGTTGAATTTGACTGTATGTTGTTTCTAGATGCTTTTCTAGAAACAACTAGAAAAGCATCACAAGATTTCAATTAAACTATTCCAATGAAAATAGTTTTACATTAGTTATTCAACTGACCTTTTAAGGAAATATTTTTTCTATATGACAGCAAAGTAAATTTATTAACTGTTAATGTAGAATTAGTAATACTTGTAATACAATAATTAAATACACAATTACTAGTACAGTAATTAATTAGAATTAGTAGTACAATAATTAAGTTAACATAGAATTAGTGTCAATTTTCCTTGGCTTCACGGAGAATAACTTTCACTGCATTACTCTAAGTAATGCTGCTGTGGTTAATATATTGTTTTAAGACTATTTATTTTACCACGAACAAAGTGAAATACATCAAGTGGTGTTACGTCATGCCACAGAAAAATTTTATACAAAGCTGTTAGTTCTTCAAAAACGTCATTCATCATATGCTAATTTATATGAAATATGGTATTTTTTCATTTCTGTAAACAGTATTTTGAAATAAGATTAATTGCTTCATCTTCTTTAAAATACTTAATTAATGCTTTATAATTTTTTAACTATTGCTTTCAGTGTGAAACATCTAGATAACCACCTAACTTAATTTAAGCTTCACTTTACACAGCAGAAGCAATAGTCTTGAAATTTATTTTACTTTTTTACAGATCTAGAAAATACAGTATAGTATATCATTTTCATCCAAGTTTCAATGGTTCTGATTAATTAAACTTCTTTCATAGCATTTCAAATACCCAAATCTTCATGATAAGCAAACCAAATGTCAGATACTTTCTTTTAGTTTTGCTGCTACTACATTTATCTTACACAGCATAACAGCTGCTCCATCAGAAGTGAATATAACAATTGTTTTATAAAACAATATTATTTTCTCTATAAAATTCTTGTATTATAGAAACAACTAGAAAAGCATCGCAAGATTTCAATTAAACTATTCCAATGAAAATAGTTTTACTTAGATTGGTTATTCAACTGACATCTAAATTTTAAGTATAATATTAAACATCTGGTGAAACAAATGTCAGTATTTTAACCGAGAGTTAAAGTGTGAAAATTAGTTGCCTTGGATTTTCTTCACAGTATGGAATATTTCCCATCATGTAATTCGGAATTTATTTTCACTGTCTAGTATCCACATTTCAAGTTGACACATTCAACTATTTCATTAAGCCATTCAATTTTAAAATCACTTGCAGTTTTTCTTCTTTTTAGAAAGTCTTCCATAGTTTATATAAAACTAAATATACTAGAATACAGTACAATGCAAACATATACTATATTGTTAGCTACACTTGTAGACAAAGTACTACTTGCTAACCACTCTTTAACAATACATACTTTATTTACTTAGACGGCAGTGCAAGTGCATCAATACCATTTCTTACAGTTGTATGGTGCAACATAAGCACATGAATTAAATACAGTCAAAAGTCATTAATTCGGACACCCATAATCCGCAATGATCTATAATCCGGACCTCAAAGCTACAACTTTCTGCGCATAGCCGTTTACGTATGTGCGTAAGACCTTTACGGCTGCAAATATGCATATGCGCGTGCGCATAAAACGTTTACGTATGCGCATTTAATGTATAACGGACAGTATAAACTAAGCTAAAATTATCTAATTCAGTTAATGTTGCAGACTGCGTTGTTCCTTAATCTTCGAATTGGATCCGGCTTATTATTTTTTGCAGACTGTTAGAGCAATTTTATAAAAGTAAGCTTGAACTTTCGATTATATCAAATAGAATTTCCGATATATATTTGCTCATATGTAAAGGATCTAAAGCGAAAGTATGTTTCAAAATCCGAAATCTGTTTATCAATGTCACGTTGCTCGGCGGGGGGAACGCCGCTGTGCGCAATGAATTGGAAGTTGATCTGTCAGCACTATCCTTATCTTCAGGGCAGATGTTTTTATTTTATTTGGCTTATATAGTATGTATTTGGCTATGTTACTAAATGTAGTATTTCATCTGGATGTACTCTGTCTTTGATATGATTTAAAACAAGTTCCTCGTCATTATAATTCGCTTCCGATAGTTAAGAAAGTGACAGAGGTTATTGAAAACGAACAAATTTCGATTGACAAATTAGTTGGTATTCTCGACACAGCAATTATAGAACTTGAACAGCGGAACATTTAACTAAACAAGAAATTATGTCTGTTTAATAGAATTAAAGAGAAAGTATTATCACATGAAACGAAGCAACTTAAACAACATTGAAAGAAATGTTTAATAAAGTAAACAAATAAATATTAAGCTTTTTCTTTTTGTAAATTTTGATACCCTTTAGATCATAATTGTTCTTTATTTCATAAATTATAGTTTCATATTTTTAATTTTGTAATTTCTGAATGCCATCCTACCAGATTTAAAATGATGATCTATAATCCGGAATCGCCGAAGTCCTGACGAGTCCAGATTAACGACTTTTGACTGCACCAATGACAATATAATGAACCTATTTAATATAATTTATTTTAAATGTAATATTACTAATATTTTGATTAGTGGTGTGTGTGTGTGTGCACTTCTTAATTATTTTTTGTGTGCAGTAAGATTTCAGAGTAATGTGCGCACACAGGCACACAGCTTAGAAGGAGCTCTGCCCTATAACCAAACATTTGAGAAGAATACAACAAATGAAAAAAAGGTACAGTCTACTGTCAATTATCTGGATTATCTGGTTTGCATATCATCAATGCCATGGTTTGGTCTTCTCATAACTCTTGCTGAGTTTATGGTTTACTTTATTTCATTACGACACAGCACACAAGGGCTATCCTGCCTAAGGTAAGGGATGGCTTCATCAAAGAGCTTCTAAGGGAAACTGGTTCATATATACATTATGCAAGGGGGAAAACCACAAAAACGAAAACGCCCATGCAGCGCTATACCCTGTATTCAAACCCTAAACTGAACTACCAGTGTTTAGCAACTTGGCTACTGGTGAACCTGTTCTTTTCTTGAGAAAAATGATGATATATGGAAGTTCTGGAAAAAGTTGACTGTATTGAATGCCATACACAGAGTAACAAAATCTCCATCAAAAGTAAAACCAATAACACTGATGCAATCATTGAGAAACATTTTTCTAATATAGAAATCTGAGATTTATCTAAGTGTTGAAGAAATCAATTCAACAACTGGAGCTGTATGCAAAAGAATCGAAAATGTCAATTGAAAAAATATCTAAGTGGTTCAGTGGCACTTCAACTGAGACCATTTCAAATGTAACAAAACAGAAGAGGTAGACAGTGATACTGAAAATATAAGCGAAGAAGATACTGACAATTACGTTAGTCCCAAGATAGCAATGACTCCTTGTTGAAACTGTGTTGGATTTCGTCGGCTAAAGGGGATTCGAATACAGCACTTTGCAAAACATCAGTTAAATTTGACAAATATTTAAATGTTCTAAGAAAAAAGTAAAATTACTGATCTTTTTTAAGACAGAAACATATGCAGTATGCATGAAAATAAATAGTTTGGATTATCTGTGTTTTTCAATTATCTGTAACTTGCTTCCCCAACATTAACCCAGATAATATAAGGTGTACTGTATATCAGGTATTGTGAAGAAACTGTGATTTGAGATTCAAAATTTATTTTTAAAAAAAGCTGTCAATTTACCATGATATTTGCATAAATAGTATAATAATTCAGATTTTCTCTGTAACAAACTGAGAACAAACATATGAAAATCAAAATTGTCTTTAAATCATTTGATTATAAATTTCATTTGAGGATTACTAGACATCAAATACATTTTGAGTTTTTCCAGTGAAATTTATAATTATGCACATTCATTGCATCTTTCATCAAAATCGGAGATACATCATCACAACTTGCGATACCAATGTAGTTGTCTTTTCTGTTATCCCAACAGCCATTCTGTTCTTAATCTAGTCTTCCCGTTATAGAAAGCCACAAAAATTGAATTATTTCTCTTTTGTTCAATAATTTTACATAATATACATTATTATTATATAGTAATGTACTTTGCTTGTGCTCAATTTGAAATAGTATAAAGCTATTACAGCCATAATGCAATTAAAAAAATTAAATTATTTAAGATAAAAAAGTAACATAGGAAAACTTCATAAATCTGATTTATGAAGATATTTAAAATCTCTTAGAACAGAATAAAATAATTTAAAACAGAAAGAAAAAAAATATCTGTAAATAACACCTCTCTGAAAAATGTAAAAAACATCAAGAAAACTCACCTGCTGATTTTGGAGTAAATTTTTCTCTTTGAGCAGCACACACAGCAAGTAGCCTGTAGCCAAGATCAAGATCAAAGCCTTGCTTTTGTGAAACTTGACTGATCACCTTAACATGGAAAGAGAAATCAAAATTCATAAATCTTTATTTTAGGAAATAATTTACTCTCATTAACATTATAAGAAATTTATCACTTTAATATTTTACTGCCCTAAATTTATGCTGCTTAGCATCTTATGATGATATTAATTTGAATTATTTCTGAAGAACCATTTTTGAGTAATGTTTTTTATAACTAGAATGTGTCATTGGGCAACAATAATATTTCTGATGAGAAATTTGTATTTTGTCCAAACAATTTTGTTCTTATTAAATTTTGGAATGAGTAATAAATGCAGAAAGATAGGGGAAAACTGCAGCTTTCTATCATCATTTCGTTCTACATTGATTTTATAGCTTCTGCTACTATACTGTCCTGCAGAGAATTATTTCCTACTTTGTTTTCTAAACAATAAACTGAATTTTATTTTGAAAGAATTCATATTGACTGCTAAATGACTTCCACATTCACTATTCTTTTATACATCAAAGATAAAATTTTTTTTTAATGAGCAATAAATTCCGTTACAAGTGAATTCTATTACAAGTGACGGTCAGAAGCATGATAACATGTTATTCATAACTAACTATGTTTAAAAAATTATAAGTCTTTGGTATTATAAAAATATTCCGCTCATCAATGCAAGAAAATAAATCATTTAAAAAGTTATTGTGCATGTATTTTTTAAAGCATTTTGCAATGGATGTTATCTGACACAGCAATTTATTGCAATCAACATATAGTTGCTCTGGAAAAAAAGGGGGGTGGAGAGATAGAGAGTTTTGTAGAAGAATACATATCATCATAATAAATATAATAAATAAATATTACAGTCAAAAGTCTTTAATCCGGACGTCCATAATCCGATCCGGACCTCAAAGCTACAAACTTTCTGTGCATGCGTAAACGCGTTTATGCATGCCCGTTTAATGTACAACGGACGGTATAAGCTAAGCTAAAATTATCTATTTAAGTTAATGTTGCAGATTGCGTTGTTCCTTAACCTTTTAATTGGATCCGGCTTATTATTTTTTGCAGACTGTTAGAGCAATTTTATAAAAGTAAGCTTGAACTTTCGATTATGTCAAAAAGAATTTCCGATTCTGGAGCTGCCATAGGATCTACAAAGCAAAAGCATGTTTCGATGTCCATTAAACAAGAAGTGGAATTGCTGCAAAAAATGGATAAAGGCATGAAGAAAGTGACAGAGAGGTGATTTGTTTCTTTAACCATTCCAAAATCTGAAGGGGCGTAGCTAGAGGGGGGCAAGGGGGCATCTGCCCCCGGGCGCAGATGTACTAAGTACTAAGAATGTACTAAGAATCCAAGGGGCGCCAAACTGATGTTAAAACATTTTAGAATTAAATGTTTTCCATCCTTGGCAAGCAGTAGGGGGTGCGAAATCTTCAGTTGTCCCTGGGTGCTGAAAACCCTAGCTACAACTCTGGAAATCTGTTAATCAATTTCAGGCTGTTCTGCGGGGGGCGGGAGAGAGAAACGTCGCAGTGCGCAATGAACTGGAAGTTGATCTGTCAGCACTATCCTTATCTTCAGGGCAGATGTTTTTATTTTATTCGGCTTATAATTCCTTACTAAATGTAGTATTTCATCTCGATGTACTCCGTCTTTGATATGATTTAAATCAAATCTCTCGTCATTATAAATCACGAATATGCATCAAATAGTTTTCTGGTTGCAATTTTCTAATTTCGACTATGAGTAATGTATGCTTTACACATGCGCGCGTTAAAAGAAATGTTTAATAAAGTAAACAAATAAATATTAAGATTTTTTTTTGTAAATTTTGATAACCTTTAGATCATAATTGCTCTTTATTTCATAAATTACATTTCATATTTTTAATTTTATAATTTCTGCATGCCATCTTCCCAGATTTAAACTGATGATCTATAATCCGGAAAAACCGATAATCCGGAATCACCGATAATCCAGAATCGCCGAAGTCCCGACTGGTCCGGATTAAAGACTTTTGACTTATTGGCAGATTTAGGAATTTAACTCGTTTAAAATTTCAATTCTTTCATGTTTTTGGTTCTAAATTTCTTCCTATTTTATCTACATTTGATTCATTCTTTTGCAGCAGCATATTGAACAGAAATAATATTGGGATATTTTGGTTTTAAAAAATTTGTGATACAGTCAAAAGTCGTTAATTCGGACACCCATAATCCGGAATGATCTATAATCCGGACCTCAAAGCTAAAAATTTTCTGCGCATGCGCCGCGTTGACACATGCGCACAGGCGTTTACGTGTGCACGTAAGACCTTTACACGCACGCGCATATGCGTGTGCGCAAGTGCAGAATACGTTTTCGCGTGCGCGTTTAACGTATAACGGACGGTATAAACTAAAATTATACAATTATCTATTTCAGTTAATGTTGATGCTTGCGTTATTCCTTAATCTTCGAATTGGATGCAGCTTATTATTTTTTGCAGACTGTAAGAGCAATTTTATAAAAGTAAACTTGAGCTTTCGATTATGTCAATTTCCGATTCTGGAGCTCCCAAAGGATCTACAAAACGGAAGTATGTCTCGATGTCCGTCAAACAAAAAGTGGAATTGCTGCAAAAAAATGGATAAAGACATGAAGAAGGTGACAGAGAGGTAGTGAAATTAGTGAAAATGAAAAAATTTCGATTGACAAGTTAGTCGGTATTCACTCGGCACAATTACGGGACACTTGAACAGCTAACTTTCTAACTGAAAGAAGTTATGTCTAGTTTTTAAGAATTAAAGAGAAAGTATTATCACATAAAAACGAAACAACTTACATTGAAAGAAATGTTTAATAAAGTAAACAAATAAATATTAATCTTCTTTTTTGTAAATTTTGATACCCTTTAGATCATAATTGTTCTTTATTTCCTAAAATACGGTTTCATATTTTTAATTTTAGAATTTGTGCATGCCATCTTACGAGATTTAAACTGATGATCTATAATCCGGAAAAATCGATAATCCGGAATCGCCGAAGTCCCGACGAGTCCGGATTAACGACTTTTGACTGTATCATAAATATATACTTTTCACAACTTTTTCACAATCCATTAAAAATTTGTGGTCTGATTCACTGAGAGGCACTCTTATTATCAATGATGGGCCCCTCAAATTATTATTTTGAAAAACACTGTTCTGTAAGATGTAGCTTCAAAACTTTTATTTCTACTTTTTGTATATTGTAATTTGTATCAGAAATAAAACTGAATAATGATAATGAAATATTACAGAATAATGCAGTAACATACAAACTATTATCCTCTGCATGTACTTGCATTTTTCACTTCATTAAAATGGTAGTATTTTTCTGTTTAAGTAATGTTAGGTTAAAATAAAAGCAGAAATGAATGCCAAGACTTACAAAACTAAAATTTTCTTTTGAGCGGAAGCTTAAGTTTTTTCCAATAGCAAAGATTTAGTTTTGTGACCTGGCAACAACCAGAAGGTACTTTTATTTAAGAAGAAGAGCAAAACATTTGTATGATTCTTTATACATAACATTTCTTATATTTTCTCTCTCTCTTTTTTTTTTATAAATTTTAATACTAAACTCTTCGTGAAGTTTCTACATTACAAATATTTTTTTTTCTTTATTTTTAACAGTACATTTAAGGTATACTATCAAGCTTATTTCCTTATATAGTATATGCAGGAAAATTTAAGAATTCTTTTTAGGTTTCTGACTTGATACTGATGATAAACATACATATTTCCTAAAAAAAATACCAAATGTAGAATATAAATTTTAGCTATAACTTTCATTTACAGAATTCCAAGTTAATTTTTTTAAATATCTGTTAGAAACAAATATGACTGATACTTTAACAGATGCCTCGATATCAATATAAAATAGCTCAACAAAGATTTTTCCTCGTGTCTGGTATGTTACTAATCTATCAAAATGAGCTGAACAACATCCAATAAGTACTAGTTTAAAAGACAGTAGGATAATGACATTATGTCTGTACTCATTTTTAATACCAACATTCTGTACTTTTGTATTGCAACCACAAGAGCAAGTCAGATACCTACTTTAGTAATGCAAGAAAAAGGAATAATCCGAACCTGACAAAACTCGTGGCCTGAGGTAATAATGTTTACAAAGGCCTCCTTATTTTGTTTCAGTGTAGCAGATATGATTGCTTTGGGTTATATAAAATTTTTAATAACATACCCTAACAATTTACTATATCATTTATTAAAAAAATACACTTTACTTTTCTAAATTTTGTTTTCATGGTTTTAGCTTATTATATGCTGTGTAAAATATAAACTCATATATTTTAGACCAAAGTTTTTTTTTTTATTTATTTCTTGAAAAAAAAATCCAATGAAGCACTTAAAGGTTTATTGATATTGGTTTACAGTGACAATGGTTACTCTACCATTATCGCTGTAATTTAATTAACTAAGCTGGATAATGGTTTACAGCGACAATGGTTACTCTACCATTTTTGTTGTAATTTGATTAACTTAATTATTAGTTAATTAAATTACAGTGATAACGATAAAGTAATACAATCAAACATCATATTAATTCAATAATCAAGCATATGATCATATTAATGATAATCAAGACTTTCATACTGACTTAACATCATAAGCATTCAAATGTGGTCACACAAAAGCAGAGCTTAGTTATGCAAATTAATGAAATAATGGTACAGTGATTTTCTTAAAAAAAGCCCCCCCCTCCCCCCAAAAGAATTATTAAACAAAATTTTGTTCCTTTCGTAATTTTATATTTTAAAAATTTGGAAAAGAAAATAATTAACTTTTTAGACAATTTAAAAATTATAGAAATATCTGGAATGTCTCTTAAAAGTCAAGGCACATCTGCCATTTATTTGCCTTCGAGTAAAAGATAATGTAAATATGCATACTCACAGTTAAGCACCCAATGAGATTCTGTTCAAATACTTTCTGGAATGCTCTAGGATCGCCACACCATTCTAACAATTCCCTTGCTGCACCCTGGAAGGCACTGGGAGTAGTCAATGCCTAAAAGCAAAAATGAAATGCTCGTGAGCTAATAAAGAAATATATTGCTGTTTATTAAATTTCAAAAAACATCCTGCAATATAATACTATATACCATAAATTTGAATAAACCAGTAAAAAAGGCCTCATAATTTTGACTATGTTGTTTCAACAACTGTAATTTTAAACCACTTTTGAATTATTTGATAGAAAATAAACAAATAAATGAAGGCACAAAGAAGAAAAGCAGAAGAATAATACTCATAATTATGAAATGGGTCACTATCAGCCTGTAAAAAAAATTATCATATGAGTATATTAATATTTGTTTTTTTTAAGATTGTGGAGGCAAAAGTGCTGAATAATGTCTTCAAAGTACTTCTCACTTATGTAATCTTCTGTTTTGCTTAGCACAGTGAAACTGAATAATATTTTAATGAACTAACTGAAATGAAATATAGCATGGTACACTGCAAACAAGGGGGAGAAAAGGGAATCTTGTATGTGAACTGGACAGCTGCTAAAATTCAATTTGTATTTTTTGCACACATTACTATATTTAGTAGATAGAACTATATACACCTTACTATATTTAATAGATAGAAGATACATGTTATATGCAAGCGTCTTGTAAAAATTTTTTCACAAAACAACAATCTTGGCAGGGAGATGGAACAGCACTTTGTAGAACACATTTGAAAAATAGTACTTTAAATTCCATACAAATTTGGTTTTCAGGGTTTTTTTAAAAATTACAATCTGCAATTACCCACAAGTAAACGGATTCTATGTTTAACGTTATATCTATATAACAAATTTTATAAAAAAGTTGCTTTACAATTAATACTCAAAATTTTAATTCTGCAGTGTTAACTAAATTCAGTAGATTTTTAAGTTACAGGAAAATACACTAAAACAGTATTTTCTCTTTCTGTTCCACATGCCTCCATGATATAAATGGAAGCATACTCGATGCATACTCAAGAGGTCTGGAGTCCCAGCAAGGGAACTGCATATTTTTCACTTCTCCTATTTAATAATAATAATAATAAAAAAAAAAAAATAAAAAATAAAAAATAAAAAAAATTATGAATATACAATGCATCAAACAGATTTCTGAAGAAAGATGCAGGTGTCAACTTGCCTATTTTTAGCCAAAAGGGATGTCAGACCCAAAGGGCTTATACTCTCAAAACAGCATTTAAGCTGTTTCACTTTCTGTGCTGATTCACTTTTTAAACTGTTGCCACCAAGCATTATCGCCCTGTATTATATTTTAAGAAACTAAATAATGAAGAATCTGCAAGAGTGTTTCTCACATTGTGAAAAAAAAACAATGGTACATAGAGACATCAAATTTTGAATAATGTAGTCCTCCACCCAAATACATGGGCACCTGGAAACCCAAATTAGGAATTTAGAATTTCTTTTGTTATCTATTTTATATTTTGTAAAACATTAACAAAATTTTGATTAACAAAATCAACAATTTCAGAGTTAGCAATGGCAACACCATATTGGGGGGGGGAAGAGCACAAGACTGTGTATCAGAAATTCTAAAGATATGCTCTTTTTAAATTATTTTGTGATATTGCTATTGAATTGAATTTTATAATATAATATCTAACTATATCGAATCTACAGTAATATAAAATCTGAAAGGTTATAGCCTTTTTTTTTTTTTTTTTTTTTTTTTTTTAACTTTCACATTGATAAGGGGGCACTGATAACGGCCTTCTGGCTACTGTTAAATTAAATCTCTCATTCTTACTCTAATAATAATGTTCTTAGTTTCAGACAAAGTATTATTACTGTCAAATTTTCAAAATATGCATTTTTTTTATTGAACTAATGTGAGAGATTATACTTCTTATGTTTAGAAAAATATTATCGTAGTCGAAATTTGTTGCTGATAAAAGGATATTTTCTGGAATTATCACACTGGGATATATTTCTTGTTATAAAACAATTTTTCATATGCACTATCCTACAATGGAAAAATCGAGTTCGATTTATATTTGATAATACTTCCTTTTGAAATAAATGTCTTCTTGTCTCTCGTATATAATCTGTAATTCATATTTAATCTTCTGCCCTCCCCTTCCAAAAAAAAGTTACTTTTTCGTTGTGCACCTGCCAGGTTTTTTGGCACAAACCAGCCAGGTGATGGCGTGTCCTGCTGTATATGTGCTTTTGTGTTTTTGTCACAAATAAACTATCCTTATAACTAGAAATTGTTTGCAATTAAAAAAAAAAAGCTGGCCAAAATATCTGGCAGGTGCATAACGGAAAAGGGATATTTTAAAATTAAAATTTTAAACAAACTTAAAAAAATTATGTATTATCTTAGATCTTTATATTTTAAAAACATTTTCAAAAAATCTAATTTTTTACTTTAGCTTCGGAGTCGCGTGCATATTCATAATGTCTAAATATACAAAACATATAACACATTTTTTAAGTTTAATATCTTTAAAAATAATAGGTGTATGATCGTGTGAAATATTGCATCTTATTTAAATACAGTATTTGCTGCTTTCCTTTACTTTCCTGATATTAAAATATTTTAAATAAAATAAAAATAAAATACCTTCTTCGCGACAAACATGCCCTGTTCATAGCAAAGAGTATAAAGTCTTTATACTCCGTGCATTAGGTATAAAAAAATCGCCATTAATACCCCAAAAGGGTTATTAGTCTCGAAATACGATTTTGTTGTTTCACCTTAATGCATTGTTTCACATTTCTGGAGTCTATTGCCTCTCAAAAAAAGTAAGATATCGTTCTTTCATATTTAATCTGCATGTTATTAACTAACAATTTAAATAAAAATGCGCTTTATGAATGATACATCTAATCCAAAGACGTTAAGTTTGGCGCGCTGAATTTCCTGAAAATCAAAATTTCGTTCATTTACATCTAAGAATAAACGCGAATTACAGGCATTCATGGCCAACCTAACATTAATTATTTTTTCTTCCTTGCGATTTAAAGAGACGTCATAAATCACGCCATTCGGAAACATTTATTTCCCCTTTTGTTTATATAATCAAAAACACGCGTATGCGAGTCATGCTTCTCTCATTTCAAGTAGAAGGTCTAATATACATGTATCTGAAACCATTATGTGCCATCTTGTGGCAGAAATTATAGTTTGAAAAACGTTCCAGGACACTGGCACAAATACGTGACAGTCGGTGGAGAACGGGAAAACTCTGGCACGCCTGCGTGTCGGCCGGGAAGTAAGTGTGTTCGTTGCTGGCACGTAGACGTAACAGTCGGCGCGAAGGGGTTAACATGAAAACATGATTTTTTTGGGTCCATTAATTTACCTAAAGCATCTTGTTAGAATCAAACAACCTTTTCAAGTAGAAAGGCCCTTACATAGGTTAGCTGGATACATCATGTCTAATTTAAAAACTCTCTTTGAGTGTGTAATGATTTAAATCTTGATGCATAAAGAGAGCAAAGTCATCAAAGCCGATTAAACATTTCTTTTATTGCTGATATATACAGCCATTAATTAATTAAAATGAAAAGGCACCACTTTTGCGTACATGTTATAAGGCGTACTGTACAGTACTTACAAGTGCTGAAAGCCATTGCTTGCTGAACATCTCGGTCAAAGTAAGCTGTTGACGGTCTTCATCCGTTTTCGAGCAGCCTAGTTGCGTATCCACTTGACAATGACACGTCCACTTGACAGGTCACACTCGTCCTGACGCTCCATCCACTTCAAGGCCGGTGAACGCTTCACTAGTTAATGGCCCCGTGTCAGCTTCAACATTAAGGCCATCTTCTTGCTCGACACCTTCTTCTCTTACACTTTTATTAAGTTCATCATCATTTAGAATTTGAAATCCAGTGTCTGACGAATCACAAATCATCTATTCCGCTGCACAAACTTCTGAACATCCAGGAATTTTCAAAAGAATATTTCTTAATTCCTCAAGTGACACGTCACCCTCATCTTTTCCTGTCTCTTTTTTCCCCTTGTCTTGGGCTTGCTTTTCCTTCTCTTCTCCAGTTGATTATGAAAGCGATTCGGATAGCCGGAGTTCGTATAATTGGAGTTGTTCTGCACATGAATACATGCATAGTAGCTCATTCAACCTCCAGGAGTAGGATCCCATGCACAGTTTCGCGCTACTGATCGGCCAGCTATCCTCATGAAATTTTCCAATAAAATGAATTTCGTTTGAAAATTTCGAAAATTAAAATTGGCATACGTAATTCCGTATGAACTTTGATATATTCAAAAACTGTGCTCCATGTATTATCGCCCTTACCACTCCTGCGCCTATCGTCTGCATATCACAATGTATTACACCGCAAAAAGAAGGTTTTAAATATAAGAATTATCAGAACAACTTAAACAAAGGTGTATGTAGCTATCTCAAGGACCAATCAGCCGCTTTGCGACAGCGGTAACGATGTCTGACAGCTACATAAGATACTCACGATCAAATCTCAAAGTCATTTACAATTTTCAAGGACACGAGGATCTCGTTGTGCCGCACTGCCCATCTGCGCTGAAAGGTGGCGACACGTACGAACAAATAGCAACAGACAAAGGGGCACATAATCTAGTGGCCGAGATGAGCTCAAATGAGGCAAGGAACACCTCCGTGGACCAGGGGCATACATATACGAACATCGTTATAGCGCGACTCCCCATACAGCAACAAAGGCCCCCAACAACAAACACAACGATCAATCATATCAACGAAAGGACTCGCAGCTACAATACACACGGCTCAACCGCGATAACCAATCGCATTCCATACGACATACATCGGATTAGTTGAGACCATCTCATAAGTATAGCTTTGCGAAAATGTTTGACTGTCATGTAACACCCCCGATGGAATTTTAAATCTTTCCTGTATCAGATATATTCAGATTTCTTAATGCCTTTAATAATGCATTTTGAATGTGTGCTTTATGCAATGACTCTTTTTTTCTCTTTTAGCGAAAGGTAAGGTTGTACCATAATAAGCCAATAAAGCACCATACACGTT